CGCAAGATGAGGGGCGGCTGGTGGCAAAGAGAGTATCCGCTCGAGACAGACTCTATCTCTCTCTCTCTCCCTCTTTATCTCCCTGTGTCTCTGCCTCTGTCTCTCACTCTCTCTCTGTCTCTCACTCTCCCTATCACTCTGCCTCACCCTCTGGATCTGCCTCACCCTCTCCCTCTCACTCTCTCTGTCCCTCTCTCTCTCTCTCCCTCCCTCTCTCTCTCTCTCTCTCTCTCTCTCTCTCTCTCTCTCTCTCTCTCTCTCTCTCTCTCTCTCTCTCTCTCTCTCTCCCTCTCTCCCTCTGTCTCCCCCTCCCCCTCCTCTCTCTCTCCCTCTCTCTCTCCCCCTCTGGCTCCCCCTCCCCCTCCACCACGCACCACGCACCACGCACCACACACGCACACGCACGCACGCTCACACACCGCTCACTCACACCGCTCGCCCACGTGCACCGGCGCCCTCGCTCCCCGGCACTGCAGGCGGTGCCGTGGGACGCGTCGATGCCGAGCGAGGTCGGCCGCTTCTCCGGCTGGAACAGCTCGACATACGCGGCGGAGTTCTTGAGCGCGTTCGGCGGCCGCACAGAGTACCCGGCCAAGGTCGACTACATCGGGGCCGCGACTTTCGCGGCCCTCTGCGCCTTGGGCGCCGCCATCGAGCAACAACGGCATTGCGGTGAGGATGGGAATGCCACGTCAATGATAGGCGCTCTGCGCCTTGGGCGACGCCATCGAGCGGGCGGGCTCGCTCGAGACGGCCGCCGTGGCGAGCGCGCTCCGCAGCACGTCGCTCGTCGAGTTCTTCACCAGCAGCATCTCCTTCAACGCCGACGGGCAGATGGAGGGGATGGACTTCCCTGTCGTGCAGTACCCGCCCGGCGCGGCGTCGCTCGGGCTACGCTACGAGGTGTTGTACCACCGCGCATCGCCCGACTGTGAACGCGCGGCGCGCGGAGCCGCACCCCTCCCGTTCTCTCTTTAGGTTGCTTTCGACGCAAAAAGGAGCACTCTCCCCCTCTCTCCCCGCATCTCCCCATCTCTCGAGCACGCCTCTTCAGGTTGTCTTCGACGCAAAGGAGCAGGAGAACGTCTCCTTCCCCACGCCGCGGTGGAAGCTGCGCAAGTGCGCCAACGAGGGCAACTGCACTGCTGGCAACGGAACCTGCCGAGCCGACGGTGACCTCCCCATATCTCCCCGTACCTCCCCAGATCTCCCCATACCTCCCCAGATCTCCCCAGATCTCCCCATATCTCGAGCACGCCTCTGCACCGGGGGAGACGTGATCTCCAGCTTGCCGAGGTACAGCCGGGATGCAGCCGAGAGACCGCCGAGGTATTTGTCGACGGTGATCTCCCCATATCTCCCCATATCTCAGGCCGCTGCTCCTGTCTGCCGGGGCGGAGCGGCGACTTGTGCGAGGCGGTCGAAGAATCGTCTGCGTGGGATCGTGTCAAGGTCAAAGTCATCGCGGCGCTGGCGTCCGGGCTGATTGCGTTCTGCCTCTGCGCCTGCTTGGTCTACGTGCGGTTGCGGCGGCGGCGGAGGCACCTCAAGGGCATCATCAGGCCGACAGCGGAGCGCATGCCGGGCGCTGCTCGAGTGCGGCCCCGCCCCTCGAGCCCCGACTCCGGACCGTAGGGACGCGGAGCGCGACTTTGCACGCTGGGAGCCCGCGCTGGAGTCGGCTAGCAGCCGGAGCCTCCTGTCGAGGCGCCCGCCGCGCCGCCCTCGCCCCCGCCGCCGTCCGGCATGCCGCCGCTCTCGCCCTCGCCTCCAGCCACCCCCCCCCCCCGTCGCCGCCGCCCTCGCCGCCGCCGCCCTCGTCTCCACCCTCGCCGCCGCCGCCCTCGCCGCAGGGGCGGGACGCTGCACCGCTCTGTCTCGCGCCGAGTCACGCGCGCGAAGCCGAGGCCGAGGGACAACAAGGCGCGCGGGCGATGCGGGTCGGCCGCAAGGCGTGTATGCGGGTCGCCGCTCGGGGCTGACCCTCGCTGCTGTGTCTCTCGTGGGTAGGCGCGGGTCATCTCTGCTATGGGGCTGCCGGATGGGCGGTGCTCACCAGCTGCCTCTCGCTCGGCCACGCCCCAGCGCGTCACAGACTGACCGCGGTGCACAGGTACCATGTCTTCCTCTCCCCCGTGAACAGCGTCTCTTCACACCTCTAGCTGTGAACAGGTGACGTGCACAGGTACCACGTCTTCCTCTCCCACGTGTGGTCGAGCGGGCAGGACCAGGCAAAGGCGCTCAAGGGGCAGCTGCAGCGGTGTGCCGCGACAGCTCATATCTCCCCATACCTCCCCATATCTCCCCCATATCTCGAGCTGCAGCGGTGTGCCGCGAAGCTCCGAGACACTCGCTCCTCCCCACCGCCCACCGCCCTCCGCCGTCTCGACAAGCCCATGGCGTCCATCGCCTGTCACCTCCCCCCCCCCTCTCGACACGTCCACGGCACCGCCATGACGGCTGCGTATTGCGGCCAGGTACGTGCAAAACATTGTGATCTCCCCATATTTTTCCCATATCTCCCCAAATCTCCAGGTACGTGCAAAACATCTCGCCCTTCCTTGATGTCGACAACTTGGACGACACCGCGCGGCTGGAGGAGCACATTGGCAACTCGGAGGCCGTGATCGTGCTGCTGACGGGCTCGACCGCCGTCGCCGACGGCGCACCCGCCTCCGACTACATGCGCTCCCTCCCGTGAACAGCGTCTCTTCACACCTCTAGCTGTGAACAGGCGCACCCGCCTCCGACTACATGCGTTCCCACAACTGCTTGCGCGAGCTGCGCGCCGCGGTTCAGCAGAGAGGCCGCTCGCGCTGAGAAGAGCGCGGAGCGCCGAGAACAGAGGGCTGTGGATAGGTGGAGCGGAAGAGGCCGCTGATTCTGCTGCTGGAGACGGACCCGTCGCACGGCGGAGTGCCGCTCGACGTCCACCGTGCCGAGTGCCCCGACGAGCTGCGCGAGCATGTCTTCGCGGCGCCGCTGGTGACGTGGCACCGGCTGCGCCCCTTCCAGATGTGCTCGATGAAGCTGCTGATCGTCGAGCTGCTTCGCGCGTGGAAGGCGGCCGGCGCAGACCAGCCCATCTTCCTCCCGGGCGACCTCCTCCGCTCGCCGCCGCCGCCGCTCGCGACCAAGAGGAGCCTTCACGTCTACTTCTCGCGGGACAACGCCGGCGCGGCTGCGGTGGCGGCTGGGATCGCCGAGGCCAGTGGCCAGCAGCTGCGCAGCACGGACGACCCGGCCCAGGCGCGTGCGGCGTGCGCCTTTCTGCTGTACCTGAACGGCGCCACCTTTGCGGCGGGGGAGCGGGCGGAGGCGCTCGGCCGCGAGGTGAGGCGGTTGGGAGGGCGAGACTGGCCGCTGCTGCGAACGGCGTCTCCTCACGCCGCTGCTGTGAGTAGGTGCATGAGGCGTTGGAGGGCGACCGGCCGTTCGTGTTGGTCCACGAGCGGCGCGACGGCGATGCGGGCGCCGCCACCTTCGACGACATCATCGCGGCGACGCCCGCCGCGCTGCGTGAGGCGGGCATCTACCGCCCGATCGCGACCCCGCTGCACGGCGGCCCGCATGCCGACGTGTCGTACCGCCTGATCCTCGAAAGGATCGACGCAGCGTGCGGCTCAGGCGGAGGAGGAGTCGGCGGGATCCTCAGCGACGCGCTCAACCTGACCGAGAAGCTGACAGGGCTCGATCTCGACGACGACGGCCACGTCGGCTCTGAGCAGTCGGCGAGGGAGGCTAAAGGAGCTAAGTCTACGATCACTGTCGCCAAGTGATCTGATAGATTGTCAGTAAGAATGTGCTGTTTCCGTACGTTTTAGCAGAGGGCCCGCAATAATACGCAACATTTCTCTATCGAACACAGGCAAACAAAAAAGAAGTCTACGAAGAATCCGCTCGCCCAAACTCGCCCACAAACGGGTGCAGGCTGTGCTTCACCTTGCCCACCAGCCATTTGTAGCGCAGCACCTCGATCGCTCGATGCGGAACGGAGGGCATCGCGAAGATTAGCGTCAGGATGAGGGCGAGGCCTGTTCCGATGACCTCTCCGAGCTCAAGCGCAGGCATGCACACTGAAAGCTGGACCAACAAAGTGCTCGATGCGATATACTTGTTGTCAGAAGGCGAGCCAGAGCTGCCAGCCGACAGCACCTCGGTCGCGCCCGAGCGCCGAGGCCCTCCTCCTCCTCGCTCCCGCCGATCTCCCGCTAACGGATCTTTGTTTGCCACCTGTCCCCTCTCTTTACGGTTTGCTAAACATCTCTCTCTGCGCGGAGCCCTGTGCACCTCACGCTGCCCCTCCGCGCGCCCGCCGCCCGCGTCTCATGCAGCGGACAATACGGCTGTCTCTCTTTTACGACGGTCTTACGTCTTACCGTCAACCGTGGAGGCGGGAAATGGCTGGGCCCTGGGGGCGTGGGGGGGGGGGGGGGGGGCTTACACCCCCCTACCCCTGCGGCGGCAGAGCCGCCGGCCTCCCAGACCCCCTACCCCCCTACCCCCCTACCCCAAATCCCGCGATGCTACCCTACAAAGTCGGAACCCTGGTTGGCAGCAAATGAAGAAAAACAGGGCGCGGACTAGAAGTTGGTAGAAGAATTTTACGAAGGCCAGCACAACACTGGGCACGGGACTGGCGCGCACTGGCACTAACACAGGTACACCACGGGAGCCGCCTAAGCGACTCCTGCGAGGACGGCGGGGCACTTAGCTCCGTACAGAAGAGAAACGGTGGCGTCGGCGGTCGGGGCTGTGCATCTGCATGTTGAGAGCGCGGACGGACACGGGACAGACGAAGAGACCATTTCAAAACGGCGCGACACAAGAGCTCATGAAGAATGTAACCGGCGGTCCAACACACTCCACGTGCCCCCCCAGGGCGCCTCTCATTCTCACGGGGTACTGCGAGCGGGAGCGCCGAGGCGCACGTCCTGCCGATACAGCATGCGGGCTGCTCCTCACTCCCTCTTGGTCCGTGCAGGCTCCCGAGGCCGAGCTGCTCGCCATCCTCTCCGCCCTGCTGTGCAGCGGTGAGAGGCGAGTCCTCCGCTCGTCAGAATGAGTGGCGTCCTTTCAGTGGGTTGCGCCCGCGGCGTCAAGCATCTTTCCCCCCGCGGGCGACTGGCGGAGGACCTCGTTGCGCCCCTCGGTGGGCCAGAAGAGGATGGCGGCACGTGCGTAGCACTGGCCTGGGTATGGGCAGCCGTTGCCGAGAAACTCGACGCGCTGCGGGTCGCCCTCCGTCACGAGCGCCTGCTCGCGGTAGGAGTCGTCCTGTCCGCGTCGGAGCTCCTTGGCGACGGCCGCGTCCGCGAGCAGCAGCTCCTCTGCGAGGATGTTCAGGCATCGCTCGCTGGGGCGCACCTCTCCAATCTGCCACCAGTTGTCGTACTCGTACAGCTCGGGGTCCTCGTCGTACTCGTCGTACTCGTCGTCCGCCCAGTTGATGCCCTCGCCTTGAAAGAGCTGGCGCATGCCGCGCTCGTCGAAGTTTGGCAGCTTCGGGCCGACGGCGCTCTTGAGGTCCGCGGGCACCGTCGCGCCGGGCACGAGCGGGATGAGCGGGCCAAAGGTGAAGGCGGGCGGGTCGGGCGTGCTCTCGCCGTAGTCCCACAGCACGACAAGCGAGAGGAAGGCCTCGACGCGCGGCCCGCCGCCCTCACTGTCCGCCTCGCCCTCGCCCGCCTCGCCCTCGCCCGCCTCGCCTTCCGGCCGCCAGAGCTCCCGCACGGCCCGCTCGACCACTGCCATCGCCGTCGAATCCTTGGCGAGCGCCTGGTAGTCGGGAGGGTCCTCGACGACGAGAGTGGAGGCGGCGAGCGCCGAGAGGCGCGGCACGGCGGTCACGTCGCGCGAGCAGCCGAGCGCGGCGACGAGCAGCTCGCCGACGACGCGATCGCGCCCCTTGAGCGCGTGCAGGCCGGTGAGAGTCTGCGGCGTGTAGAAGTGCGAGAGGACGGCAACGAGCTTTGCCGGTTTGCCGTGCTTGACGGTCACCTCCTTGAACGACGCCGCGGTGGCGAGCGCGCGGAAGCGCGTGGCGACGGACGGCGGCAGCTGCTCAAAGGCCGCCTTGACACGCTTCTGGTTGTCGCCGTACGTCTCGGTAGACGAGAAGGAGTACTCGTAGACGGCTCGCTCGTCCGCCGAGAGGCTCTTGAGCCAGAACTCGTGCGCCTAGCAGCAGTGAGCAACTTGGATCCCAAAGATCGGCCACCCACCACGGCCGAGCAACTAGGACTGGTGGCGCCTTGCCCCGGCTGTACGAGTTGACCTCCTCCGTGTACGTCTCGTCAGGGTAGTGCGCATCCGTCTCGCGCGTGAGCGCGCGCAACGCGTGTGCGATTTTGGCGACGAGCGCCTCGTCGGCCGGCTGCGGCGGGCTCGCGCACAGCTTTGAGGGCGCGCCGCGCCACTCGCTCTCGCTGAGGCCGCGCTTCTTGGCGAGCGTCTTCTCGAGCGGCACTCCTGTCAGGTGACGTAGTGCCGTACGCTCACTCGGGGTGTGTGGCAGCCTTACTAGCTGAGAGTCTTGTCTGTGTGTCTGTGTGTCGCTCCAGTGTTGCCGGCTCTCCGCCTCGCTTGCGTCCAACCACACCGCATGGTGTCCAGTCGCTGGTCAGACTGTGTCTTCACCTCTCTCCTACCACATCCACCGGTCAGGTTGTACACGAGCACGCAGCGCAGGCCGCCGGTGAGCGTGTCCACCTCGTGCTGGCAGTCGGCGTAGAAGGCTGCGAACTTGAGCCGCCTCGACGCCGCGCACGCCGCCGCCGCCGCCTTCTCCGCCTGCTTCTTGAGCCGTGCGCTCTTGCGAGACGCCGCCGGCGCGCTGGTCGGCGCGGCGGCGGCGGCGTCGGCGAAGTCGAAAGTGGTGGTGTCGTGCGGCGCGGACGGCGAGTAGACACGCAGCGCCGCGCCCGCGTACACGGAGGGCAGCTGAATCACGAGCGTGCCCCACATGTTGTCGATGCGCACGTTGTCCTTGTGGCCTGCGGCGAGTGTGTGGGAGGCATCTGACGATGGGCGTCTGACGATGGGCGGCATGCGGAGGCGGCGGCGGCGGCGCACGGCGGAAGAAGCAGCCCTCCTCGTACACGAGCATCTTGTACAGCGACGCGCCAAGCTGCCAGTCGTCGAGGTCGAGGCTCGACGAGATGTGCGCGAGCATCGGCAGGAGGACGGAGGCCTCCCACTCGTCGTGATTGACAAAGTTGAGGTCGGCCGGCAGGAGCTACGCGCGAGGGCGGCGGGCAGCGCCAGAGGCGAAGGAGAGGGAGGTGCTGGTGTCGATGGCGGGGGCGGGGGGCGGCGAGGGTGGACGTGACGAGGGTGGCGGTGGAGACGGCGGAGAGGTATCGGCAGTGCGCATTATGTGTATATGTGCAACGGCGGAGAGGTATCGGCAGTGCGCATTATGTGTATATGTGCAAGGCCGCAGCACACCTCCCACGACTTGCGCGCCTCGAGGTTGATCACAGTGTCCGTCATGGTGCCCACGCCCGAGCGCTGCGACGCCGTGATGAAGGCGGTGGCCTGCTCCGCGCTGAGCGGGTAGCGGAACTCGCCGGTCTCCTGGTGCGTGATCTCCGGTAGCACGCCAGCGGTCCACTCGCCGCCCACGCAGTAATTCGAGCCGGTCCCGGTGCACTCTTGCAGGAGGTCAGTGAGCGAATCACGAGCGTTCTTAGGGTTGGCCGGCGAGCCCACCTCGCACGGCACGCGGATCTCGTTGGCGTCATCGGAGACGTAGAGAGTCGCACCGTCTGCGACTCGCGCGGTGCCGTCGAGCTTCACCTCGTACGTGACAGCTGAGCCGTGCTCGCTGCTCTGCAGGTCAACGACCGTGCCCATCTTCCACTCGGCGCCCACTCGTGCGTGAACACGCTCGCCGACAGCAAAGGCGTGCGATGGGCTGGAAGAGCTCTCAGCCATCATGATGGCAGCTCTCTCAGCCACCCATGATGGCAGCCGGCGAGAGGATGGCTGTTGCAGCGTGAATCCGATGGCAGCCCTCCCGGGGGCGCCTTCGCTTGCGGAGCTCCAAACCTCCGCCGAAGCGGGATGTATTCACGCGCAGTGCGCGCTCGGCGACATGCTCTTTGAGAGAGGCGACGAGGCGGCCGCTTCGGCAGTGTGGCGACAAGCGATTGGGTTGAGCGTCCTGCGGCGCCAGGCAGCAAGTGGAGGTGCAGCGCGCTTGGTCGCTGCGCCAGCAGGCCACGCGCGTGACGTTGCTGCGCCCGCCGCCCTCCGCGTCGGCGTCATCGGCTGCGGGCCAAGTGGCCTCATCGTGCTCAAAGAGTGTCTCGACCGCGGCTTTGCGTGTACGGCGTTCGAACAGGGCTCGCGCATCGGAGGCGCCTTCGCGACGGCGTATGAAGGCGCACAGCTCACTTCGTCCTCGGTAATCACCGCCTTCGGCTGCCATTCGGACGGGCGCGAGGCGTCGCCCACTTTCTGGTCTGCCGAGGACTACGTGCAGTACCTGCAGGCCTTCGAGCGCCGCTTCGGCCTCACCAAGCACGTCCAATGCGGCTCGACCGTCGAGGCCGCTAGACGCGACGAGCACGGCGCGTGGATCGTCGACGTCGTCGTGGGCGGGGAGGGCGGCGGCGCGCACCGCGAGCAGCACACCTTCGATGCACTCGCCGTCTGCTCCGGCCTACATCAGGAGTGTCCTGTCCTGTCGCCCCGTTGTGCTGCCGCCGCCCGATGTAATTTGTTGATACCAGGCGCCTGCGTGGCCGGCGTGGGCGGAGCCGTACGTGACCGCCGGCGCCGCGGGACCGTGCCGCGTGCTGCACAGCTCGCAGTTCCGCCGCGCCGCCGACTTCGCCGGGCAGCGCGTGCTGGTGGTGGGCTTGGGCGAGGCGGGCTCTGACCTCTCCCTCGCGATTGCCAAGGCGGGCGCGGCACACGTGGCCATCAGCACCCGTGCGAACGGGCCGGGCGCAGTCGTTGGCCGCTGGGCGACGGCCGACGAGCCGGCGGACCTGCAGACTTCGCGCGCCAACATGGCAGAAGCGTGGGGGCCCAAGGAGTACCACTGGTTGTGGAAGTCAGTGCTGCAGAGCGCCAAGGGCAGCCCGCGCGAGGCCGAGCTGGTGCGCACTGCGCTCGGGGCGGCGCGGCAGCCGCCCACTTTTGACGAGCTCGAGCGCGATGCGATGGCGTGGAATCACCGCCACCGCAACTTGCCGTTCAGCCGCTTCGGCACGAAGAATTTCGCCTTCCTGGAGGCCATCCGCTACCACGGCGCCGCGCAGGTTGGCGAGGTTCGACAGCTCTTGCCCGACGGACAGCTGATGCTCGCCGACGGCACGCGCTGCGCGTTCGACGCTGTCGTTTGCTGCACCGGCTACGAGAGCTCCTTTCCCTTTTTCGAGCGCCACATGCCCGACCTCGCGCGCGCAGCGGGCGACGCGCGCACGCGCTTCAAGCACATGCTGTGCCCTGCGTTTGGCGCCACCCTCGCCTTCGTGGGCTTCGCACGGCCGGCCTTTGGTGCGGTGCCTCCGATGAGCGAGCTGGCGGCGCGCTACTGGGCGGCGCTGCTTGCGGGCGAGCTCACGCTGCCAAGCCACGCGGCGATGATCGACGCGATCGCACGCGATCGCGCTGCGGAGACGCGGTTCTTCGAGCGCGATGCCGGCCGGCTGACAGCGCTCTGTCAGTACCGCACCTACCTTGACGATCTCGCCGCGCTGCTCGGCTGCCTGCCGCGGCTGCCGCTGCTGCGCGCGAACCATGCGAGCGTGTGGCATCGCGTGAAGCGCTCCGCCTTGTGCGCCGCGCAGTTCCGCCTGCACGGGCCGGGCGCGAGCGAGGAGGCGTGGCTGAGCATGGCACGCATGCCGCTGCCGCGCGCGCGCCGCCAGCCGCGTTGCGCCGTTGCGGCTAAAGTGAAGGCACTCGCCGAGTTCGACGAAGATGAAGACGGCGATCACGCGTGGCTCTGGTCCAATCACCCGCCACCACCCATCGCCGCCAGCTTGCGTGCCCAAGCCGCCGCTCCCTCGCCCGAGAAAGCGACCGTCGCCGAGAGAGCCACCGAGCGAGCAGCGCAGCACGCGCGTTGGCTCGAGCCGATTGCAGTGGCGTGTGACGCGCCGGTGGAGGAGCTCGCCGCGGCTATCGAGCAAAGCGGCGGCGTGCTGCGGCTGGTCGGCGCCGGCGTGGGAGCGCCATACGAGGCGACAGGCGCGCTCTTCGACGGCGTGATCGCCCGCCACGCGCAGCTCGGCCTCGGCGTTTCGTCGGAGGCCGGCCGCCTCGAGCGCGGGCTCTCGTGGAAGGGTCGTTGGCCATGGCTCTCGCAGCCGGGCCAAAACGCCGACCAGAAGCGCGTGCTCGACTATGCCTTCGGCCACTCGGAGCTGGGCGCGCACGAGGCGCTGCCACCGGCGCTCGCCGCGCTCGCCGCCGAGCCGCTTGCTTTCCTGGACGCCGTCATGCACGGCCGTTTGTCCACTCTGCACGAAGCGCTCGCGCGCGTCACGCGCTGCGCCGCGCTGCGCACCGAGGCCCATTCGCTCAAGTACCGCCTCTCCGACTACATGGCGCACGGCGGCGCGCCCTGCGGTGCTGAGGCGCCACGCCCGCTGCGATGCGCCGAGCACCGCGACTACGGCACGATGGCGCTGATTTTCGATGGCGGCGTCCCGGGCCTTGAGGTGCTACGTGATGGCGCGTGGTACCTCGTGAAGCCGTCGGCGGACGACGCGATCCTCATGCTCGGCTGGGCGACGCACATCCGCTCAAACGGGCGCGTGTCCGCGCCAACGCACCGCGTGCGAGACGTGGGCGCGGAGCTCCGCGAGGATACCGCCACGCCGTCCGCGGGTGCCATTCCGCGCCGGCTCTCGCTGGTCGCCTTCAGCTCACCGCCCCCGCAAGCGCGCCTCGCGCCCGAAGGGCTGCGCGAGGGTGAGGCGGCGCACTTCCGCGCAAGCGTCGCCGGAAGCGCGCACGCGCAAGCCCTCCGCGCCCACAAGATGATCTGAGTGTCGGCGGCACGCACGGTCCACGGGGTGGCGCCGAGCTCGAGTGCCGAGCCTCGTGCCGGTCGGGTGAACGTGGATAAGTGAGCTTAAGGGCCCGCCCTACATTCCTGCTTCGTCCGCTGCATGGCACTGCTACTGTCTCGGCCTAAAGTCTGTGCAGGTTGTGAGCTGCAGCTGGTTGTGAGTGTTCCCGGGCATTCACACTATATGTTCCTGAGATAATTTGGCGATTATATCCATAAGGGATTTCATCCCTTTTTGGTTTGGAGATCCGTGTTTTGGTTTCGGTTTTGGGTAAAACGTATACAGCTGACGCGATGCGGCCTCTGCCTAGCTTCCTAAGGTAAGGTAAGGTAAACGTCTCCACACACAAAAAGTGGTGGGGCAAGGGGGGGCGACCCTCGCATCTCCACGCCCGGACACGGGCAGGAGCCCCACGGCATTCAAAGTGCAAGCACCGGCCCGGTGCCGTGGGTGAGCAACCTGCACCCCACTCCCTCCCTCCCAGACACAGGACCCACACACAACCCCCACAGCGTGGACGACTACGTGTTCAGAAACACCAAGCAGCGAGGCGAGGGTGAAGGGGTATGCGCGAGCTACGGCGGGACCGCTATCGAGTAGTGAGGCTGAGGGACACGATCCCGGCGCGCGAACACAACTGAGACGTATCATTCTCCGCTCCTCCCCTCCTGGCAGTCGCGCACGCGCCGCGCTGCGGCGCGTGCGACTGTCTTTGTTGAAGTCAAAAGTCGAATCAGGGCGCCGTCGACGTTGTCCCATGTCGTTTTCCTCCCCCGGACCGCCCATCCGGGACGCTCCGCCGGGACGCACGCCGGCGAAGCACCATATCGAGCTGCTGTACGGCACCCCGGTATCGCCTCCCCTGGCTTAGCTAGAGTGAGAGATATTGTGCACATGGTCAGTCTCTACAATGTACTCACTGACACTTCACCTCCCAGAGCTCGTCCCGGTCCGCCACGGCCATCCTCGGCCTCCGAGGGCCCCCGGCCGCGGCGCGGTGCGGCGGCGTCACAAATCCGACCACGAGAGCTGCGCGAGCGCGGGTGGCCCCCTCCCCGCCCTTGGGCTTGGCCGCCGGGCGGACGACCGGACCGCGGCTTGGCGCGGCGAGCGGTATGGTATCTGTGAATAAGTGGAGTATTTACTTTCACACCCCTTGGGGTGTTCACGACCACTTGCGGTCATTACGCACTTGTGCGTTCACGCCCCTTGCGGCGATCGTCTCACAGTCTCATCAACCGTTCAAGGAAAACAAAATACGCGAAACCCCCACCCCCCCCACTTCTTCGACGTAGCCAGCCCTCTTGTGGCTTCGACGCACACGCTACTTCAGCCACAGAGTCCTGGACATGTCTATCAGAACTTCCTTGGGGGTGGGAGTCGCTAAACATATTCCCCGGGGCGGTCGCCGCTGCCGCCCCCGGGGCGGTCGCCGCTGCCGCCCCCACAGGGCGATTTCAGCAAGTTTCATTATGAGTCGCCAGTTCGAACTATGAGTTGTCGATTCGACTCTCGGGGCCGCAGCCGTTGCTGCCCCCGCCCCCCCCTCGGGTTCGTCAAGCGCCCGCCGTTTAAGTTTCGGGCGCTCATGCCTAAGTGAGGGTGTGAACGGGACTACGCCCCTCCCTGAGAACGAGCAGGAGAGCACCGGGACGCGGTCGGGCGATCTGAGGTCCAACTAGGCGTATGCGCCGTGGCCAGGCAGGAGCTGCTGTTCACAGACCTCGTTATTGACAAGAAAATACGTCCTTGGCGCTTTGCGCTGAAAGAAAGAAAGAAAACAGACAAGCCAAACGAGGGATAGGTTGCGCTGTCACTCCGGCTCGTGCAGCGCTGGAACAGGCCGAGCTCATAGGGCGCCGAGCTCGCCAGCTGCAGCCCTGCAGTTCTCGATACTGAGCCCTCCTCCCGACCCGCTCTTGATGTCCATCCGGTCCGCGCCGTCCAGCTGGGCGACGCCGTCGCGTACGAGCCGGCCTCGACGCGCTCGCGGCTGCCGCGGCGGCCTCGGAGGCGCGCTCGGCGAGCGGCCGCGCTCGGCGGTGCTCCTGCTGCTGCCGTGCCGCCGAGCGGCGTCGAGGCTCCAGAGAGGCGATGCCAGTGACCGGCCGCGTCGGAGGCCTCGCTCCGGTCAAGTTCCTCGCGCTCTCTCCACCTCTCTCGCCGCAGTTGCGTAGGCGACAAAATGAGCTCGCTCGCGAAAATCACAAACAGTTGGAGTGGGAAGGGGTGCTGGGCCCGAGCCTGCTTGACACTGCGGACACGGTCCGTCTGCGTCATTCCCCCCAGGCTGATTCGCCGTCTCGTACTTCCTCGCGCTTTTTCTCACCCTTGCCCAGAAGCTTCCCACGCCAAAATGCGGCGCGATGCAGTCCTGCTCGTGGAGGTTTGTGCGTTGCCGAACAGAATCCAGTGCGGTGCAGTGTGGCAGCTTGCGAGGAGCGGTGACGGGTCGTTTGCCCGTGGAGCCAGTTTGCCAAACCGGGAGGGGCAGAGCGCGGGGCCGCTCGCACTGTCACACCTCGCACATCCCGTCCTGGACACATCACTCGTGGATAGTGCGCAGCCGCCGCCGTGTGCGCCAATTCGTCGAGAGTGCGCAATGACCGGACGCTCGGGAAAGGTTTATGTAAGTACATTTGAAAATGGCCGAGTTCGTCTCAGTTATCGCCTCTCAGTTATATCGTGAGTCTTTGTCTCTGACGTCCGACGACATGTCACATGAAAGTCATGAACATGACAGGCGGCCGGTCTCGGGGTCTGAGACTCGCTGCTGACCGCCGACATTCCGCTCTCTGAGTCGTGAGTGTGCGCCCTGGAGGCCGGCCTCCCGAGTCGCCGGCGCCCAGTACGTCAAGCTCCCAGCTCATAGACTCAGAGAGGGACGTGGTGGGCGCAGAAGCGGGCGAGTGATGTCCGTTGCGAAAGCCCGAGGGCGGCTCGGCAGCCCCGGGTCGGCTGGCGAATAGCCTGCCGTGCCGTCAAAGAGCAGAACGCGTAAGCAGCGGCCGAGATGCGCTGTCCTCGGCCAGCGCGGGTCCTTCGTCGCGGCGTCGCGGTCTCCTGGTCGAGGAGACCGGCGCAAAGGGCGTGGCTCACTCGCGCGGCAGATTAGCGCGAGCTTCGGCCGAGCACAATGCGATTCGCCCCACCACCCATCCGAACGAGATTGAGTTCGGTCCGCGGGCACGTCGAGGGCGAATCACGCCACGCGGCGGTGGCGGCTCGGGCAACATACACGTCCTCGAAATAGTAGCGCGCCGGAAGACCGAGGCAAAACTCCGCGCGCCCGAGACGACCTGCGCGGCGGGGACGGCTCTCTCGACTCCGCGTGCACGAGTGGGGGCCTCGGAAGCGGCGAGATGCGGCGCCGAGAGAGGGAGACATGTGCCGCTCTCGCGCCTGAGCGCCAAGCGCAGGCGTCGCGAGCCGGTGGCGGAGCCGCCGAGCGTCGCGAACGGTCCACCGCTCGCGCACGCGTGCAGCCGGTCCAGGGCGGCTAGGCAGAAAGAAGAATGGCGCGAATTGAGGCCGTACGCGCCCAGCGCGAGCCTTGTTCCAGAGCGGCTGGCTGTCGCACGAGCCGGTATCGAAGGCGATTTTTCTTTGGCAATCGACAGCGACAGACATGCCGCGGCCAACTCGGCTTCTTCTCCTGAGTCTGTCCGCCGCCACCGCGGCTCCGCTTCCCGAGCCTCAGGAGCCTCGCGTCTGGACCGTCTTTTGCGCCGAATGCACAAACAACTTTGACTACAAGTCGATCGGCGTGTATTGGTCGCATCGGCTCTCGGGCATGCCTGGCGGCGTGACGCGTCTGCTGGCGTGCGATGAGGAGCAGCTCAAGAGGTACAAGGGCCTCAACCTCGGCAACACCTTTGTCCACCGCAACTACGGCCGCATCCAGCACAAGCGGCGCGTGCCCGAGGGGGAGACGCACCCGCCGACCGGCTCACGCGCGCAGGACTCGTCGCCCTCGTACAACAAGCCGGGCTCCATCATGGAGTGGGTGATGCACTCGGAGGAGGCGAAGAGCACCGACTACGTCCTCTACATCGACGCCGACATGCTGCTGCGCAAGCCCCTCGACCCCATCGCGATGGGCGTCAAGAAGGGAGTCGTGGTCTCGGAGCATGTCGGCTACCTCGACACGGGCATCAGGAACGGGCTGCCGGCGCAGTTCCTGCCGTCCGTCGAGGCGGTGCAGTACGCGGGCGCCGACGTCAACAACTACAACCCGCCCGGCCCCGACGGCAAGCGGCACGCGGCCGGCGGCTGGTACATGTTCTTCCACATTGACGACATTCGCACGATTGCGCCGCGCTGGCTGCACTACGAGATCGAGGTGCGCACCAACCCGCAAAAGTACTGGAGCATCAAGGACGAGCACTCGGGCCAGCTGTCGGTGCCGGCCGACATACTGACCGGTGACGCATACGTTGGCCACGGCTCGGCGCCTTGGATCTCGGAGATGTGCCTCCGCCTCTTTTGTTCTTCTGCTCGTCCAACGGCGTCCGTCCACTTCAAACGCACTGCGAACAGGTACGGGTACGTCTTTGCGGCGGCGGAGGCGAAGCTGCGCCACATCCTCACCGAAGGCGTCGTCGTCTACCCCGACGAGGTGGGCGCCGCGCGCCCAAAGGTCAGCCAGCCAGTCTTGCACACACTCCCAGCATGTGGAGGACGGGCCACACGCACACACACCCTTCAGGCCAAGTCTCGCACACACTCCTAGCATGTGGAGGACGGGCGCCAACACGCACACGCACGCACACGCTGCGTGCGAATGGCTCGAGGAGCCGACACGAGGCGCCACACACGGTCCACACACGGTGCCACCGTCCGTACCACTGGGCCTGTCACAGGTCGGTGACACGCGTGATCACACCCTCGGCGCCTGTGAACAGCGTCTCACTCACAGATGGCGGTGTGCACAGGAATCGTACATCATCCACTACGGGCTACACTGCGCGGTGGGCAGCTTCAAGTTCACAAAGTACTCCTTTGGCGGCTTCGACGCAAACGCGTGCTCCGGCAAGACCTTCGGCGACCCGCCCGCGCCGCGGCACACTGAGCGCCGGTGCCTGCGCGCCGTCGAGCTGTGGAACAGCGTCTCGTCACACCGTATGCCGTGAGTAGGCACATCGAGCGCTTGTGCGCCGAGACGGTTCTCGAGCTCAACGACGCAATGTGCGACTACTACAACCGGCCGGTGGGCGAGGGCGGGTGCGGCCGCGCCGGCAGCGAGGGCCTGCCCGCCTAGAAGCGGAGATCTGGGGAGATATGGGGGAGATATGGGGAGATATGGGCCTGCCCGCCTAGAAGCGGAAGACGCACTCTTGTCCTCCAAGCCGGCGCTCGAGAGGGCACGGACTCGACTGCAGTCGTGCAGTCGCCCCCCTCGTACTCACGCGGTGCTCTGAGTCCGCTGCACGCGACCGTCCTCCCGCCCTGATGCCGGCGTCTCCACGCAAAAACACAAGCCCAGGCCCACAAGCACAGACAGTCGAGAAGGGAGAGACAGCGGCGGCAGTCAGAAGCCAGCGCTGGGTCCCAGGAAGGCGAATGCGATGACAGCCTCTAGTGCGAGCTCTAGCCAGTGAGCCCATACGTCTGCACCACGCAGGCCTTCCCACCGACGCCGTCACCTGCCCGGCTTGGAAGACGGCCAGCCGCCTGTAGATGCTGCGCGCAGATCCTGTCTCTGGCCGGCGCGCCACTCTCCCGCTCCGTGGCGTCTGCCTCTGGGCCGCAATCTCTACACGCGCACGGCGCGCGGTAAAGCCGCAGGCGCACGCAAGGCGGTTGTCACGGCCCCGGCTGCCTCTCCCCTCAGGCCGGCCAGCAGTCTTGTTCCGACCAGAAACTTTCCTAGACCTTTCCTAGACCTTTCCCTCAGGCCGGCCAGCAGTCTTGCGCCGACCAGAACCAGATGTGCCTCAAGTGGGCGGCGAGTGGCGAGTGCAAGTCCAACCCGGGCTTCATGGAGGGCACCTGCCCTGTCTCGTGCGACGTGTGCCCGCCCGCCGCCACCAACGCCATCCCCGCGTGGGTGCGCGGGCTCGCGCTCGCTAACGGCACCGCGCCGGCGCCGCTGCGGCCGATGGGCGAGATCAAGCTCTTCTACTCCGACGCAAACCAGGCGGCCGCCGCTCCCCTACCCCCACGGTACCCGAACTCACCCTCCCCTACCCCACGGTACTCGAACCCACCCTCCCCCACCCCACGGTACCCGAACTCACCCTCCCCTACCCCACGGTACCCGAACCCACCCTCCCCCACCCCACGGGACTCCAACTCAGCCTTCACACACCCCCAGCATACGCAAAATGTACTCGCTCCTGGCAGAGAATCGGTGCAATTAAGACAGGCTGCTCTCCCACCTCGTTAGACTCCGAGTCCCGCGTCATTCACTCTCCAACCTCCTTACTCACGCCTCCGTGACACCTCTCTCCTCTCTTATGCTCGTGGTTTTAGAAACTTGGACCCCT